CTTAGACACACCCAGGTAATCCCTAAATCCTGTTAGGGGGTTCTTGAGGACTGGGTTGAGAACCCCAGATATAAACTGTATGACAGTATCATATAATGCAACCGAACGAGACAAGCATGTACCCTTTGAGAGCCATCGAACCTCTGTGTGTAAAAGTAACCTAATAAACTGCTCGTTATTGTCCTGGCACAGCTGTCGAAACATTCTATCACCTTTGGCATTAGATTTGATCTTATTTACAGCTTTAATTATAATACTTAATGATGAATGGAGACTTGTACTTAAATGTTTTCCTACAATATGTTGTCTGTGCACAACACAATGAATACACAAAACATGTGGCACTTCTTTCTTCAAGTAAGCAACAAACCCACGATAGCGGCCTACCATTGATGGTGCTCCATCAGTAGCACATGAAACAATATTGTTCAAGGGTATATTATTTTTTTGCAAAGTATGATTTCACAGCAATAAATATTGATAATCCTTTTGTATCTGTAATCAGATTGACAGTGAATAGCATTTCTTCTTGCAGTATATTGTTTTCATCAAGTACGTGTATCATCGATAGAGCATTATTATCTGCAATGACAGACTCGTCCAATTGTATGGAAAATGAAGAATTTTGGAGAATACCTATAAGTTTATTTTCAACTTTAGCTGCCATTTCGCCATTACTGTGTTATCTCTAAGGGGCAATGTTTTTAAAACTTCAGGTATATCATGATACATTACTGTTGAGATAAATTCTTTGATAGAGGGTATTATCAAAGTTTCCCCAATATTATGTCTTTTACCACTTTTTGCAATTAAGTGTGATATAAAATAAGCTGCAGTTAATCCATCCTCATTCTTTGCATGTTGTTTTTGAAATGATGCAGCTATTGTTGAACGATTTTGAAATCTTTTATACATTTCTTGAAAATATTCAATGGGCTTATCTTTATCTTGTGAATTCTCTGTAGCAAGATGTTCTCGCAATCGACTTGGCTTCATTGCTTCATTAGATAATGTCTTGTGGCACAGTAAACACATTGGAAGCTGTTTATTTGTAACAGATTCAATGAAACCCATCTTCAGATACTCTGGTAAATAGCCACGACGAGCATATTTCTTTTTTTCAAACATGGGTTCTAAATTTGTTGCACAATTTAACAACTACTTTTACTCTTACCACATTTTGATCTGCATGCCACACAGTGCTACCCCCTCCCCCCCTTTTCCCTTTTATTACAAACCCAAAAAATAATGCCGTATTAGGTGCCACTTTTTATTACGTGTCACCATAAAAAGAAATTCCCCCCTTCTTTTGCTACTTTTCCTGCCTCCTTCTTCTTTACCTTCCTTATATTATATCAATATATCAGGGGTCTCTTTTCCCTTTCTCTTTATTCTCTACTTCTCCTTCCTTTACTTTTTTTTCCTTCTTTCTTTCTTTCTTTTATTTTATAAGATAACAAAACGTAACTTGCCAAAACATGAGCCACTCTAAACACTGCTTTCTCTCCTCCTTTATTTTATCCCCTTTTTTCTATTTTTCTACTCTTTTACCTTCCTTATGGCAATGTCCAAAAGTAAGGCCGAGCTAATTAGCCCACTTATTATTATTAGCCAACAACAATTCTCTCCTTCTCCTGCCTATAACATTTTTATCTTCTATTTTACAAGTGCTCTGCTTCTGCCTGTCCCTGCTATCGTGCATCAGCTCCCACTCTTCCCCTTCCTCTTTTCACGTGTTAGACTCGCTCGTGTTGGCACGTTCTCGCGTTCGCACGCACGCATTCTCGTGTTCATCTGTTCAGAAATGCTTATGGACTCCCAGAGTAACTTATCTATACTTATCCAAATCTGTCTCTCATTCTAATAAAAGAGCCATACTCCACTCTCACCTCCAGCTCTGCTACTTTTCCACCTTGTTTGGTGGCTGTCACCCTTGCTGTCCTGTTGTGTATTTGTACCCCACCTCCTCTAGACTGTAAGCTCTAAGTTTAATTGTCTCATTTATTGTAAATTTCCCCCTTTCATAATATTGTAAAGCGCTGCGGAATTAGTTGGCGCAAAATTAATACCAATAATAATAATAATGAATGCACTGTTCAAATAAATCGGTTCTGTCTTTTTTTTTGGGGGGGGGGGTTTCTTTTGTGACCTGTATCTTAATTATTTACTCCCACCCTTGCCATTTGCCTTCATTGATATTTCTTATATTTTCTTCCTTGTGCCTAATCTCGATACCTGCCGCAGCCATCTTGTTCTCCTCTGCCCATGATGTCTGCTATTTGGACTTCTGTGTAATTGATTTTACTAATGAATTGTGGGTAAATTTAATTGCAATAGAACACTGCTCTAAACCCAACCCATTGCCAAGTTTTGTAAACTTGAGTAATATACATAAGGAAAAGCAGACCCTACTTTTCTATATATAGTTTGGGAAAATATGGGTGCTCAAGAAAATAAAATAAAAACAGATGCAGACACAGTTTGCTATATAGAAGCAGATTAGATGGCGTTAGTTTTTGGTGACAGATCCGCTTTAACAGATAAACTTATTCAGTGTATTTTAAAACGTCAAACTAACTTATATGAACTCTGAAACCCACCACACACACTATATCTGTGTTGCCCCATCAAACTCACCACATCCTTGTCCCATGCATGAGATCTAAGTAAATCCTCCCAAAATCAATGTTACTGGAATAAAGGCAGGGTAAAGGTTCAGAATTAATTATATGTCAGAAGTTTCAGGAAAGAAAACCCTTGGTGGGGGAGAGACAATCGTCAATAGCAAACAGATAATGTTAAAATAGAGTAGAAATTTTGTAATAGATGTTTACAAATTTTTGTTTCTCCTTTTTCAGATACAAAGTGTGATACTCAGATTGCCTGTGTGACGCAGCCCTGATGATCTGAACTGTGTATACCTCTAAGGACTGGAACCAAAATGCTATTCCCAAAAGATTAGTGTGGCCCTTTTATTCCTAATAAGCACTAGTAGTTACCCCCCAAGATAACCTCTATGTACCTGCAGAGAATCCTATATATTTATGCGATAGAAACTGCTTTAATCGAAAAATAAAACTTATAGTTACCTGAGCTAAACGACTGCTAAAGCCTATGTTACTCTCTGTCTCTGTTTGTACATGTCTTTCTCTCTTTCTGTGTGCGTTCTTTGGTGTTTACATTTAAAAGGTAAACCTAACATGACAATAGAGTTGATGCAAGGGTAGAACAAGGGGACTTGAGCAACCCAGGGATACTAAAGGGCCTCGAAGCTCTGCTTCCTATGGCAATAAAGTAGTTATTAATGGCTGCCTCCCTTCTTTTATCCAATTTAGTAATATAATATCTTGTCCTTGCATTTTTGATTCCTCCTAGAATCCGTATTAGAAGGAGCATGTAGGAGGACTCTGTGACCTTGAAGGAATACACCTCCTACGTCCTCCATAGACCATCAGGAGTAGATGATATTGATTCACAGTGTTACCGAACCCATTTCACGACCTTGTGGCCCAGTCACAATTGCACTGCTCATAGAAGACCCTGGTATTGCCTGATTTGCCACCAGTTTTAAAAGCACAGTTATAGACTCACAATTTGCAGTTTATTTAACAAACTAATAAACTTCAGATCTATTAAAACATATTATATTTCTATACATATATATTACAAAATATCAAGAATCAGCTCTATTCGCATACAAAAAAGTTTTTGTAAACTAAAATTTCTGACATTCTGTTCACCTGAGTGAGTCTGAATAAACATGCAGGCTGCCAATTCCTATGCCCTTGGGTGAAATCAGCTGGCACTGGTATGTGGTAAGGGCAGTTTGTCCGGATGTGCCTCATTCAGTCTATTTATATTGGAGGCACTATAATTTAATATAGGTTAATCTATGTCCTCAGTACTTGGACAAGTTGGGTTATATCAGTCTATGAAAATGTGTTTATATAAAAAAGATGTTTCTTCACATGGGATTGCAGCCATAGAGCCTCCATACCATCCAAAATATGCCAAAGTTAAATTAATTCCATTAAAAAAATTACTTCAAGGTATTCACATAATAGAGTACTCTATGGTGTTGAAAATATACAATAGATTGTACAGATAATATGGAAAAATATCTAAATGTGTGATAGCATAGCACAGCAGTCAATCAGGGGTGGGCTGGCAGCCTTAGGCCTGGGGGGCAAAACCAGTCAAGTGGCCCATTGCACCACCAAATCAGTTCACCATCCATGCCCACCTTTTCCTGGTTTTATAACGGATATTGATGTTATGCTAATCAGTAGCTCTTTGCTATACCTGCTCCTTCACGGCTCTGACTTTCAATGTTGTCAGAGCGCAGGCTGAGAATCTCTGAGCCTGTGCTCTGACTCACTAACTGAGCGCCGGAACCACGAGGGAGAGGATATAATCTGACTGCACCTACTGCTGGTGCGCACCTGTGGACCACCAGCGAATTGCAGTGGTGTATCCTGGTTTTGTGCTGCCCTAGGCAGGACAAAACTCAGACGCCCCCCCTCCCCGCGCCAGCCCCCCCCCACCTTCTAAATACACACACACACATTCACTGACAGATACGCATACACTCGCTAACAGAAACACACACTAACAGACACACTCACACTCACTAACAGACACACACTCACTGACACACACACTCACAGGCAAACACACTCACACTAACAGACACACACACAGTCAGACACACACACTCACTAGCAGACACACACACACTCACTGACACAGTCAGACACACACATACACACTAACAGACAAACACTCACTCACTAGCAGACACACACTAGCAGACACACACACAAACTCACACACACACTAACAAACACACACTCACTGACACACACACTCACAGGCAAACACACTCACACTAACAGACACACACACAGTCAGACACACACACTCACTAGCAGACACACACACACTCACTGACACAGTCAGACACACACATACACACTAACAGACAAACACTCACTCACTACCAGACACACACTAGCAGATACACACACAAACTCACACACACACTAACAAACACACACTCACTGACACACACACTCACAGGCAAACACACTCACACTAACAGACACACACACAGTCAGACACACACACTCACTAGCAGACACACACACACTCACTGACACAGTCAGACACACACATACACACTAACAGACAAACACTCACTCACTAGGAGACACACACTAGCAGACACACACACTAACTCACACACACACTAACAAACACACACTCACTGACACACACACTCACAGGCAAACACACTCACACTAACAGACACACACACACACTCACAGGCAAACACACACTCACTGACACACAGTCAGACACACACTCACTCACTAGCAGACACACACATTCACACAGTCAGACACACACACACACACTCACTCACATTAATACATTTTTTTTTTTATTCACCCCCCCCCAACCTCCTTACCTTTGGGAGTGCAGGGGGGGGAGGGGTTCATTACCTCCCTGGTGGTCCAGTGGTTGCCGGGCTGGGCTGGGCGGGCGGGTGGCTGGCGAGGGAGCTCTTCCCCTGAGCGGTCTGCTCAGCTCCCTCGTGCGCCGCAAAGTGAGGCTGGGAGCCGGAATATGACGTCATCTTCCGGCTCCCAGCCTTACTCTGCGGTGCGCGAGGGAGCTGAGCAGACCGCTCAGGGGAAGAGCTCCCTCGCCAGCCGCCCGCCCAGCATGTCTGTTAGCCGCGAGGCTAACAAGGCATTTGCCCTGGGCATTTGGGGGCGGCATTTTTTGCCACCCCCTGAAAAATGCCGCCAAAGGCAAATGCCTTGTTTGCCTCGCTGCTAAAACACCCCTGGCGAATCGTTTAAATTGAATATGCTGGTGTCCCCAACTTGTGAGCTGGGTTGGCCGCCGGGCGCCTCTGTTGTCATGGCACCCTGCATGACCGCACAGGGTGCACACCCCAACGGCTGGCCCTGCTGACACACGCTGATGTTACTACTTAGAAATCCCTCGATATTAATACAGACATCAGAGCAAACACCAATAAACTGTGGAAACAGAGCTGATCCCCCCAAATTTATAAAGATTTGGTTAGTTGATTTGTTGTAAGATTAAATCATGCCTCCTCCTCTCTCTCTCCCATGAGCTGCTCTGTAGTCTGGGAGGAAGTGAAGAGTAATCACATTCTCCCAGCACAGCGCCACCTGTGGCTGCATGGGGAACAGCTGGTTAATGTAATGCTTGCAGGACAGCCAGCTGCCGCAGAACCTCTTTGTTCCCGTCTCTGCAAAGGGCTTTAGGCACTGCTTGCTGTGAGTGTGAGCCACTGTAAATTAGGGGCAGAGGGCACTTGCACTGCGGTAAAGACGGGTCTGGGCAGGAGGAGAGTGCAGTGCAATCAGTGCACTCCCCTCCTGTGGGTCACCAGTAGACTGGTGCACCTGCCCAGGATCAGAGCCGGTGCAAGGATATTTGCCGCCCTTGGCAAAATAAAAATTTGCCTACCCCCCATGTGACATCACAATGTCCCACCTATATGATCTGCCATATGAACTAATGCCAGTTCTGCACACAGTGTGTGTTTACATTAAAAAGCCTGCAGGGACCGGCTATAGACACCAGAACCACTTCATTAAACTGAAGTGGTTCTGGGGACTATAGTGTCCCTTTAATGTGAGGTAAATTATAGATTAGTGTCACTAATAATATACTAGATTGCCTTCCTACAACCAGATGAGGATGATGATGGGCTGCAGTTTGGCTCCACTGGTCTGGTGTAGAACAGGATCTCTGGAGGCTGTTTGTAACTGTGATCACAAAATTCAAAGTTCTAGTAGAATGGGAAGCAGCTCCATTTTACACAGCTCAAGGTCTGGGCTCCAGGGCCTGATGGTGAGTATGCCCATAAGGCCCACCTATAAATCCACTTACATGTTCCACCCTTGAGTTCGCTCACAGGGAGTGGAGTGTGTAGGGGATGTGTTATGTGTCATTGCAGAGGATCTAATGTGTGTGCTTATGGTATGTAGTGTATAGGGATACCAGTTTGTGTAGGTGATGCAGTGTATTTGTTTGTAGTGGAAGCAGTGTGTGTTTGTGTATAAGGGATGTATTGTGTGTTTCTGGTTGTGTGTAAAGGATGCATTGTGTGAATCTGTGTTTGTATGCATAAGGGATGCAAGGTGTGTGTCTGTAAGTGTGTGCATTGAGTGTGTGTAAGAAATGCATTGTGTTTATGTGTATATGTAAGAGAAGCAGTGTGTGTGTTTGCATGTGTGTGTAAGGGTTTGCATTGTGTTCTTCTCACTCTCCCCCTACCTGTGTTCTTCTCACTCTCCCCCTACCTGTGTTCTTCTCACCTCCCCCTTTGCTGCACTGTTGACCCGGATGAACTGTTTGTTTGTTTTTTGTTTCGAGAACTGGAACAAATATATTTCATGGTGTACACAAAAATAATAAATCCCGCGCTGAGACTCAAAATACTCATGGGCGGAAGCAATGACCATAGTACACATCAGCCCCAATACAGACAATGTATGTATGTATGTGTTCCCTATTGATAAGTATGTAGGGGTTTCGAAAAAATACCCCTTTCAGTCTCATTAAAGATTTTTTTTTACCTGAAGCTGAAAGAAGAAAGGTGAATGGCAGGTGGGCTTACATCTAATGGCAATTGGAGTGAAACTAAAACCTCCATTTGTCTAAATATGCATAGGGATTTGGGATAGTGCACATGTAACTCTTTTCTCTGGCTTTTATCATATTTCACGGTGTGTCTGAGGTAATAGGAGTTAGACTCCAAAAACGGAGACTGCCGCCATTTTAATGATGCCAAAACTAGCACAGTGTTCTCACAGGGAAGTATGTTGCTTACGTTTTTGTTTGTCATTTGTTGCGCACTCCGAGTTAAACAGCTACTGAATATGTCACATCAATCATTAGCACATAATGCCTCCTATTGATTCACTCTATTGACTGGGTTTCCTATGGCATTCCATGTTTATAGTGTTATTTTAGATTTTGCTTGGGGAATAGATAGTAGCCCAGTATAATGCAAGGGCCTTGCTGGGCAGGTTTAATGCACTGTATTGAAGGACAGTTTGTAAAAGGAAACAATAATAGAGGGTTCAAGTGAGAACAGACCGTGAGAATTTATTCTATAACCTTGTGCCAAAGTCAGTGTGCAAGTGAAACTGTAAATACCAATAGTGGGATTTAGTATGGATCTGCACCAAAAAAAATAAAAATGTTGGTACTGTTTTGTCATGCTACCTGCAAAAAAGCTTAATTCACTACCAGTTTAAGACAGGTTAAGAATTGCAGGGTATTCAAAGTGATTTTCAAAATTTAGGCCAATGCTGTTTTCAGTTTGGGTATTTTTGTCATACGTTTGAAATTTACTTAGAATTTCCCGCAATTTTCATTTTAGTGAACAGGCACGGTGATGATCTTTCTCATTGTCATATCTTCTCCCACAGAAAGCTTACAGGGTTATTCAATAACCAAATGGAAAAAAAATCTGGTGAAAACGACCGAAGTCCGACCGCATTGGCAATTCTGATATTTACAAGTGAATTGATCATTT